TTGTTTTCTTTCTCTTTCCCTTTTCTGATAAACTACTTTGACTATTTTCAAATTTAATTTTAAATTTAAAAATTTAAATTTAATTTTTAAATTAATTTTTATCTATTTTTTTTAGCCTTTTATAAAATTTAATCATTATATTTAATTTTTAATTTATTTTTGAAAGAGACTCAGATAAAATTAGATATTCACACAATAAAAATATAAGTTTTTCTTATATAAATAGTTTTTAATATAGAAATATAAAATTTTGAAAAAATTATGAAAATATGAGAAAATTTAAAAAATTATCCATAATAATGATGTATTCTCAAAAGAGGCACCAATGATACCTAACAAAAAAGTTCACTTGGTGTAGAGTGTAAAAGGTAGATGGTTTAGTTCACTTGAATATGAAGAAATTTTAGTTTTTAGTTAATAAAAAATTAATTTCATGGGAGAAAGAATAGAAATGTACCTGTTTAGCTTTTTTAGATGTGATAGGCACTTGCTCGGGCTTAAAAGATGGGTCCGTTGAGCAAGATAATTTTCATTTCTTGCACAATATAAATAAACTATGTTGTTCCACCAACTAAGTATGAGTTTTATGAGTTTGATCCTGATTTTCTTACTCCAAGTGGTTGATCACTCTTTCATCATAGCTAAAAACATACAGCAACAAGACCCAACTCCCTCTTCTTCTCCTTCAAACAACCTTCCAAATTTTTCCATCCATTGATGAGAGGAACTCTACAAATCATGAGATATTTCTTTTTGTTAAGCTAGCCTTTAATATATAATTTAATGTTGATAAAATTTTAACTTATAATTTAATATTAATGCATTAAAACAGAAATGGTGGAGAAAGTTGCTTTCATACGTTGGTCCAGGATCACTCATTAGAACAAAAAAAATCAATTAGAAAATTTTAAAATAAATTTAGTTAGTTAGTTATCATAGAACAACATATAAAAGAAAACATAATTATAATTTATTAAAAATAATAAATCTTTTACAAGGAAAATACAAATCTAATACCTTTTCATCAATTAGTACCATAGCAGTACTAATTAACTCTTTCTTGCAATATAAATTTAGTGTATCCCACAGTCGTGATATTCGCACTTTTATTTTCTGATAATCTATTATCGAATTCAGATCGTTAAGAAAAGTCCATTTATCTTTATTGGAACTTGTTGTTCTCCTACAAAAACATGAAAAACACAATTTAGTGAAACAAAATAAAAATATCAAACTCAAAAACACATGTACTTACGTGGATAGGTAATTATTGATCGCTGATATGATTGCAAAATACAAAGAAAAAAAAATAATAGAAAAAACAATGAGCAAGTTTTCAAAAGTGTAAATAACTAAACATGACTTATATAAGTAAAGATGAAATCCTACTTGAAGATATATGAAAAGTTAAAAAATAAAAAATTAATATAATAAAAGTTGTCTTTTCATCTGTATTGTAATTAATATTGAAATACAAATTATATTAAACTAATTAATAAAATAATTTAAATATGTAAATTATTTTTTATTAGAAATTTAATTTAACTTTTTTACTTCAAAGTAAATTTTAGTCTTTTGAGATATATATTGAACTATATATTATATTAAACTAATTAATAAAATAATTTAAATATGTAAACTTATCTTTTCATTATAAATTTGATTTAATAATATATAATATAAACTAATAATTTTATAAATGTATTTTTTTAATTTAAATTACATTTTTGTAGTTGAAGTAAATATTAAAATATAAATTATATTAAACTAATTAATAAAATAAGTTAATTAAAAGGTAACCCAAAAAATGTATAAATATTTTTATTCTAAATTTTTAATATAATATAATCATCAATTCTAATAAATTCTTCTTAAATATATTTCATAATAAGTATAAATAAGATATAATTTTAATTTGTAAATTATAAAAAATATTATAATTAATTTTAATAAATAATAATTAAAAGTAATTTATAAGATGAATATTTAGGGTACCGTTTGTAACATAATATAACCATAAATTCTAATAAACATCTTTTAAATATAATTTAAAGATAATAAGTATAAATAAAATATAATTTCAATTTATAAATTATACGTTTCAAATTTTAATACATAAAGTAATAAGTAAGTGCAGTTAATAGGAGTGACTTAATAAATTTTAAATTTTAATGCAATAAAATATAATATTAATTTATAAGTTATACATTTCAAATTTTAATATATAAAATAATAAGCAAGTAGAGTCACATATATAAAAATAACTTTACATACATAGATATATATATAGATATAAATAGACAAAATGTTCACCTTAATCAAAGAATTTGGTTTTAGATAATCTTAAGTGATGAATTATTTTATCTATTAACCCCATTTAAGCAAAATAAAGTCTCGAAATGCTGCCTATAACTAACAATTTGAAAATTCTCCGTTTATTAGATGTTACATTACACAAAAAGTTTGCTTGCCTTATGACTCCACTCACAATGTTCTTCACTTGTAAAGAGGCTCGTGCAGTCAAGAAAATAATATTTTTACAGTTATTTCTAATCTTATTTAATTTATATTCAATTTTAAAAATACTCGTAATATTAAATAGTTAAATTAATATGTTATATATTAAATAAATAAATAAATCTACTTTTTATGATAAAGGATAAATACTTCCATAACACAAATTTTATAATAAATAAGAGAAAGAAAAAATTTAAATAATATATTTAAAAAATTATTTTTTTAATTTAAAATAAAAATATATTAATAATTATTTCATATAAACAATAGGTAGTATTTAGTAACATCAAATTAAATATAAAATAAAACATTATATCATGTTTTGTTTTATAATTACCAAATGCATTGGACAGAACAATAATGTATCATTTTTATTTTATAGTGTGTATATTTAGAGCTGTTAAATAAGACCGTCGTAACTAATTAAACTTTAATTCATATGTCATCTATCTTTAGAAAAAAAAAATAATTCATTAAAAATATTTATTTTACATAATAATTTTTACTATAAGTTTATAGACAAATAAAATTTCTTAAAATTAGATGATAAATAATTAAATTTGTATAATATTAAATATTTAAAATAAATTATTGTTATTAAATAATATTAAAAAAATAATAAGTTATTATCAAATTCAGTTACATATTTTATTTAATTTTTGTTTATATTATTAATAATTGTTAAATTACAGTAACATTTTTTATTCATATAATTTTATAAATAATTTTTTATCACATTATTTTATAATTTTGTTTAAGTATTAATTATAAAAAATTTTATATTTTAATATTATTATTTATTTATTTACTTTTATAAAATTATTTTAACTAAAAGTAATTATTTTTTAGCACATTATATGACAACGAACAATAATATTAACTAAATTTTGTTATTATTAAAATGCTTGAAATGATTTATTTAAATAAAGTTTAATGTATTGAACAAATTAAATACATCACCATCATCATAAAAATTATAAATAAATAATATTTAATATTACAAAATTTATTAATATAGATAAGTAACTTGCAAACTTAATAAAAGTTAATAAATATTTATAAACTTAAATTTTGTCTTATCTTAATTTGATAGAATTTATTTTTAAAGTAAAATAATTTAATCTAATAAAATTGTTAGAATTTTTTATTTTTTAAAATATATTATTTATATTAAAATATAATTATTAATTAATTTAAAATAAAATAATTCAATAAAAATAATAAACAAATATATGTATCTTTTAATTAAAAAATAACATAATAATTATTAATTTATTTTTTTTAAAAATAGACTAATTCAACATTAACCCTGATCCTAATCACTTTATATATATCCACTATAAATAAGACTTAAAAGAAATAAGATTACACAGTAAGATACGTGGGATGGGTTGTGGGGTACATCTCCGTATTAACACTTTTATGTACAGTATACAAGCATCGTTATAATTTTTTAATATGAATAAAAAATGTTCGAAGATTAATTTTGTTTAGATATAAAAACTATTAAAATTTCTTTTACACGTAACAATAATTTAATTTAAATTTATTACACTTAATTGCATCACGTTCCCATTATTCTCGGGTGAAGCCCCCGCATACTAATGTGAAAACGTGTGGTCAACACATGTGTAATATAATGATTTTTTTAATGTCTCTCAGACATATATTAAAAATTAATAAATATATTTTATTAAATATTTTAAAATAGCATAAAACATGCATTAGCTAATTTTTTTTAAAAATATGAAAATATATTATATAACTATTTAATAAATTATATGAATTTTAAAAAGTAAATTATTATTATTAAATATTCTGTTAAACACAATGAAAAAAATTAATATTTTGAACTATTTCTTTTTAAAGATATTTTTAAAAAGTACCCATTTAAAAACTTTTAAAAAAAATTGTTCAAGAATTCATATTTACAAATGGAATACAAAAGTTGATGATTAGCAGAATGCATATTTTGGAGGGAAAAAAGAAATGCATGTTGCCAGAGAGTCAACTGTTGTAAATTTGTAATTAACGGAATAAATAAAGATTATTTAAAAAAGTTTTGTTAACCTTAATTAAATTGAGATTAAGCAGCTAATGATAATAAAAATTTAGTAGAAAAAGAAGTATTTGTTATACTTTTATAATTCTAATATAATAATTATATATTTGTTTCATAAAAAAAAAATTATTTGTGGATGTTTGAGGTCAATAAACTCTATTTAAAATATATAGGTGCTTATTCATACATGAAAAATTAGTTTGAATTTGATTGTTTATTTATGGATCATAATTGAAAAATATTAAGACGAGAAAGGTCCCTTTGAACTTCCAGCATATAACTAACTGCAAACATTTGTGCATGGCGTGGGGACACGTATTTATATTCAACATTCTTCCCATTCAACGTGCTTCCAACTTCTAACCTCTTTATATAAATATATACACATTCACTCCCAAAGCAAAACCATACACAAATTCATCAATGGACAAAACTGCTCGCTCTCTCTCCGCCCGCAACCAACTCACGGTGGTGCCGCCATCGCCTCGGCTTGTCCGTAGCCGAAGCGGGAGCAGCCCCGCCGCTGTCACCACCCCAGAGATAAGTTCACATAGGTTCAGCTCTAGTCACAGATTCACCAATGTCCACCGATCAAAATCAACATCCAAATCAAGAACCAACAACCATGAAGGTATCATAAATCCCTAACATTATCAAGTGTCATTTTATGTATCGAATTAGTTATTTATTTCTGATATTATGATAAAGGAATAAATATGAATATACATTCTTGGAGAGCTGAAAAAAATTCCCCAAAGATAGGGCAAGAGCAAAAGAGTAAAGATGGCATTGGAAAGTACATGCAACGTGGTGTTAGCCATGAAAATACTGCAGCTTCAAAGAGGACCACATCAACCGTGAAGCTGCCATCAGCGTGGGCTCTTTCGCCGGGACGGCAATCCCTTGGCTCTGCCATGGGACCCAAGTCGCCGGCTAAAGTCAATGGCAGCAACGGCGGCGTTGGAGGTGGTGTTGCTAAAGTTTTGAAGTATTTCAAGCAAAGGAAAGTGTCATCCGTGAAAGAAGAAGAGTACCATCGATTTAGGATTTTGCATAACAAACTTCTGCAATGGAGATTTATCAATGCTAGAGCTCAGATTGCCGTTCATAATTTCAATCATATAGCCGAGGTATGTTCTTTCTATGTTCATTTTCCCCCATCAAAGATTTTTAGTAAAGATAAATTCTTATCTTTCTTCTCAATTTTCACATCCATTTTATGTTGTCTTGTTTAGTTAATAAAATAGTACCCCGGTTAATATATTATCATGATAATCAATTACTTATTCATTAAATGGATTTTATTAACCTAAAATTTATAAATACGTGGTTAACATGTATGAAACGGGTATGCAAATTTCAACGTATTGTATGTGTAAGCGATTTTGTTTTGGTAAAATGCTAATTGTTTGCCCATTACTTCGTGGGCTAGAACCATAGTCTTTTCAGTGTCCAATATGATTTGGGCCTCTTTGTCGTCCCAAAGACAAATGGTTATATTGTAGCTTTACAAAATCTATCTACAATTATAATAGCACTTTATAAAATAGTGTTCATCATTATTTAAGAAATAAAAGGTAAAAAAATAATATATTATATTTTAATTTATATATATGAGTGATTTTGTACAACCCCCTAGTTGTTTTGATTATTTGTTTGTCTTTGAGCAAGTGCACATGTAGCTTAATTGTTTCAAATAAATGTTATTTCTTTTCAACATTTTATGTGTTGTTAAAACCTTTTAAAATACAATTAATGTAAAAAAGTGTGGATTATATAGCTATACTTGTTCATTATTCATATGCACCTTTTTTTTGTCAAATTGATCCAGTTGTACCCATTTCCATAATTTTCCCCCGTTAGAGCTAAATATCCTTATATCTTTTAGAAGTAATGTACCTTTGATAATGTATTAACAAATTAAAAGTTATAACTTAATTATATTATCTTTTATGAAAAAAAATAAATGGTATTCACTTCTCCATTGTTTTTTTTAAAGGTATTAAATACACAAATTCACGCACGTATTTAAGCTGCATGGTCTAGCTACCTAATTATTTATTTATTTTTTCATCTTAATTTCAGATACAATTATTTTCTGCATGGATTAGAATCCTAAAGTTAAGAAAGATGATAATACAAAAAAGAAATGAATTGCAAAGGGTGAAACATGTGATGAAACTTTACCAAATTCTGAATGGAGAACTCTATCTTCTCACTGAATGGGCACAATTGGAGAGGAAAAATCAAGAATTTGTAGGCAGATTGACAAGGAAGTTGTCAGCATTGTCCACCACACTGCCTTTAACTCATGGTGTTAAGGTATACACTACGTTACTTTTACCTGATCCTTTTGCCACAAGTCTAAATATAATTTTATTATTATATTTTAACACAATTTTTATTTTAATCCTTTGGAACATTTTTTTCCTCGGTTTTGATTTTTATCTTTTTATCAAGTTTTGTTAACCAAAAATTACTTAAAAATAAAATATATTTAAGGTTTGAGTTAATATTTAAAATAAAAGAGTAGAGTAATTTTTTAAAATTAAGAGAGTGATATAATATTTATAAAATAAATAAATAATTAATAAGTTAAACTTATTGACATATAGAGGGATAAACTTGAATCAGATTTTGGTGCAGTTAACACAGGAACTGCACTGTACATTTAAGTAAAATTTTATATTTTTGTTTAAGCAAAACTTTGTTTACTTAAGAAAAAATATAAAATAATGTAAAAACGGAACTGAATCCAAATCTCATAAACATAGCTTGTCAAACTCTGTTTTATAAGGCTTTTTCTTTTCACGTTGATTGGATCGTACCAATTTGTGAAAGGCAAAACTTGAAAGCTTGACTTCACTGAAAATTTTATTGAAAGTAAACACTTTATAAATACAATAACAACATCTCATTGAGTTTAGTCAATGTTAACATTCAATAAACAACTCAAGAAAGTTAAATTTTATCAAGTGTTAAAAAAAAATTACAGAATTATTAAAAAAGCTAACCCAACATGTTCTACTTTTTATATAATGAATTGTTCGACTCTCGAAGCTCAACGCTTTCTTCCATTCTCTTTACAGGGAGACATAACTTCCGTCTCTGAAGCCTTCAAAATGGCCATTGAAGTAATGGAGAATATTGAACCATTGGTCAGGAAATACCAGACACAGGTTCTTTTTTATTTTTATTTTCTTTTAGTACCACATATATTGAATGGAATTGTAATTGAAAATTGCATTCTATTAGTATAGTAAAATTGACTGGAGAACTATTAATGATAATATTAATTATTATGATATTTGATCTATATCTATATCTATATATATATATATATATATATATATCGTTATATATCTATCTCAAATATACAACTAATTTATTTTACACATAAGATAGAAATTAACATAAATTAATTCATTCCGTGTATGAGTTTTATTATAAATTTTTGAAAAATTACAAAATATCATAAATAAGAGAGGAAAGGAGTAAAAGTTATAAAAATAGAGAATTAACAAAAATATTGGATTATTGATTCTTATTTAAATATTAATTTGAAAATCATTAAAGAAATTGCATATTATTATATAATAAAAATAAATTAAATATGTCTTTGGTCCTTATAAAAATAATTTTTTTAAAGTTTAATTTCTAAAGCATTTTTCTTTTTTCTTTACAAAAATCAAACACTTTTATTTCTTAAGGATGGCATGATCAACTAAAAGTTAAACAGTGTTGATTTTTTTTTTTTATCATATGTAGACTTTTTTTGTGGATCACACCATTGTTAAGGCCTAAAGATATAGAAATTAAAAAAAAAGGGACTAAAATCAAAAGAAAAAAAGTTTGAGGAAGTAAAAGCAAAATCTTGCTAAAATATAGAGATAAAAAACATATTTAAGCTTAGAGACCATCAAAATTTTAAAAATAATAGAAAAATCTAATTCATAGATGATTATTTATAATTTTATGAAATAATGAAAACGAATTTGTAAGTCATAATTAATATCGAGTTAAAATCATTAATAAGACTATATACAGTAAAAAATATGTAATAAAAGCATTGATAAAAATATTAAATACCAAACATTATCTAACACCTAAATTGAAGAGTTATAATATTTTACACACAGAGAGAGAAAGAATTTTTTGTTGATACTCAAAGTTTTCAAAATATTAATGGCAGGACTTGTGTTATTTCAGCAGGTTGAAAGGATTCTTTACCAAGTTACAGAACTAACCACCACACATAAACAGGAAGAAGAGTACTTGAAAGAACTTCTGGCGATTGTTCCCGTTGTTGCTGCTTTATTGGTAAGCCTCTCTCTTTTTATATCTCAAAAAATAAAAACAAAAGTGAAATAGAGGAGTTTGTGTTATATATAAGAAATATACAATAATGGTATTTTTGATAATTTGATACAAAATTAAAGCTCGGAGTTAGAATGTAGCATATTTATAAAATAAGAGGAGTTTGAATAAGTTTTAGAAATAAAGAGAAATATAAAGAAAGTAAGAGTAATTTGTTTAAATAATTATTATACTATACAGGGAATTAAAAAATATTTAAAATTATAGGATAAATAAGCATAATTAATTCAAAAAAATAATTAACAAATTATAAGTAGCTTAAATTAAGAGAAAAGAGAATTTAAAAAAAATGAAAAAAACTAGTTTGAAAGTACAAGTATTGGAGATTTAAAACACGAAAGGGATTTTCAACATAAAAGGAACACTTTAAAATTAGTTGCAACTCATATTTGAAATATGAAGAAGAAGAAAAATAGCATACAACAATATAATTTTAAGCTAACCAATAATTTGAGAAATTCTTAAAAACATATAGAAGTTAATGCTAAATAATGATAACACAATGTGCCTCAAGGAGAAAACAAATAGACCATAATGAAAAATGTCCTAACATTTGAAGAACTCAGATTTTTAAAATAAGAAATGATTAATATTCGAAAATTAAGTTAGTTTCATTAAACAATTTTATGTCAAATTTACTCTTTTTAATTTTTGCTAAGAGATAAAACAATAATTTGGTTGTTTCATATACTAACAGGATAATGAAAGAAGCAATGTAGTGCATCTTATCCAAGCAAAGATGGAGTCCAATACCAGTGACTATCCCTGTTGCGTTGCTCAATCATGTGTTTGAAATGAAATCTCGATGCATGTATGCAACAGACCAAAGTTTTCTTACGATAAGAACTTGTTTACTAGTGCTACAATTTTGTGACAGTGGACACAACTCTTTTACGTGGAGTTATGACATTAACAAGAACAAGATTACTTTTGAAACATTCCTTTCCCTTTGGAATGTTGAAACTGGTGGAGAAAGGAAAAAATGCTATAATCAAAGAAAAATTACCGATCCTATATTTACCATCATTTTACTAATTAAAAAACAAATGGTTCAGATACCGTAACCTCTCCCTTCCATTCCTTGATACTATAAATATAACAAAAGGTCGATATATACACTTATAAGGTAAATACAATTATAGTACAGGCTAAGAGAGCACAGAGAAATATATACTGTATAAGCAAATGAATGTTATTAAAATGATATTAGATGTTAAACTTGTAAATTGATATTTTTGATATTTTTTTTTATCAGAAGTTAATTTTAATCAATTCAACGATTTAATTTAAAGTTTTAATAAAGTAGATTAAGTCACATAATTTAAATGTTAATTTATGTATCATTTTTTCATTATATTTTAATGGATGATATATTTCTTAAAATATAAATAAATAACTATTATTAAATTATATATATGTGTGTGAAAATATTATTTTACTAAATTTGACACTTGGTATCATTTGATTTGATTCTTGAGTTAATATTTGGTATCAAACAACTCTTTAAAGAAAGTTTTCTCTATTCTTTTCTTTCTTCTATTCTTTCAATGACCTAGGTCAGTTGAATTTGAAAATATTTACAAACATTCTTCACATCCTCACCAGATTTTAGCGAATTCATAATGATGTAACAGCATCTATAGAGTTGGGACTAATGCAATGGAGTGAGAGTAATGTATCTATTAGAAGTGATAACAAAAACATAGTAAGAATGCCGACACAACAGCCATGGAGTTTGTGTAAATAACAAAAGAGTGTTATGTTCAACATAAAAAACCAAGACATGAGGACGACTTGGAGAAGCTAATGCCAAGTTCTCTGCCTATTAACTCATACAGTTCTTGATAACCGATCTTTAATTCATTAGTCTTCGTATTTTCTTATTCCTTAAAATTAAACCCCTCATCCTAAATTTCATTAAATAATTAATAAAAATGTAACAAAAGTGTGATAAGATATTAGTTTGTATAAAGTAATAAAAAAAGATATATAAAATATTTAAATAAAATTTAAAAATAGCTTCATTCTGCTCTGCTTTACATATTAATGTCACTTAGGAGTGTTTACATTTTTTATAAATTTATCCCCTTTGTCAACTTTTACAAATATTTTATACATTTATTTCTTATATTTAAATTAATTATTTAACAAAAGTTATAATGAAAAACTTAATTTTAAGAATTGAAAAATTATTAAAAACTGAATGTGAGAATGACATCAAAGAAAGTTAAAATTACACATAAATTGAAGTATGAAGACTAAAAGTGTAATTAAGTAAAAAGGAAACAAAATTGAAGAAACCAAGAAAAAATATTTGAAAAAAATGAATTGAATTTAGTTGGCACTTGAAAGCAATAGAGTGATGTCTATGTGTGATCTACATGTCCAACGTAACACAGGGAAGTCAACCCAAAAGGTCGAATAAAGTTATTCTCTAAGAAACAAAATTCCAAATTACATGTCATTCTTTCCTTTATTAACAATGGAAATAGCCTATAGAACCTGCAATTCCAAACCACTATGCTCATTAGCAGAAGAGGTTTCAGGATTTTCTTTCTCATCAGTAGACTTCATTTCTTGAACCGGAGGAGCATTTACAACAGTCATCTCTGGGAAAGCATTGTCAGATAGTCTTCCCTTCATCTCCCTGTGCTCTTGACACAAGGCACACCAATGCATGCAGCAATGTACACAACATGGATCACAAGGTGAGTTCTGCAAGAATAAGAGAAAACAAGGAGAAAAAAAATGTTTATGTTCTCAGTAAACCATAAAAGAAAGGAGAAAAAACACTTACATGTTGCTAGATAAAACAAATGCTTTGTATATACAGCATTTGATGAAGTGTTAATAATAACACATAGGTTTAAGTAAATTTGATAGGTTTTAGTGGAATACCTAATGTTTTATTGCTTCAGGCTAAAGGTCATTTCCAAACATGAGTCACAATAATGGTTGTAATTTACCAATCACTAGTAAAAACTATACTGTAAGAAAAGAAACATCATTTCTCAAACTGCATGGTTGGTCCAAATTGTTGACAGTTGACAGTTGACACCAAGCTTGCTGATAATCAGTATTAAAATTACCAAGAGGCAAGAATAACACTAGAATCATGTTCATGCAGGCATTGTTAGACCCTACGCCATCTTATAATTTTGTCCACTGAGGCAAGGTTTGCTAATAGAAAAGACTCTACAGAATTCATCTAATGAATTCTACATTACACATTGTCATAAGAGAAGCAATGTTTCTAAATAGAGGAATATTTGATATATACTACTCCAAATTTAAAGTTGACAACTAGTCCAAGTGGAAACAATTCAACACAGACCTTTAAGTGATACTTTTTCTGTAAGGATTGCCGAACCTGACCGGTATAAATGCCACACATCCACCAAGTGAAAAATAAACCCTCAAAAATGATAAATGATGTCCCTGGGTCAATGAAACCATTGAAGATTACAGTTGCAGCTGCCAAAGCAAAGCCACCCTCTACAAAAATGGCATGACAAATGCAAGGTCCTGTCCAAGGAGTTTCTTCATGCAAGCTTTCCACGTTGCGCCCAAATAATACACAAGGGCAAAACAGTCCTGTCAAGCCTGCAATTAAGGTGAAATAGAATAAAAATCAAGCAATTTTGTGCTGAATCATTGCAACTGTGAATAATGCTAACATAGCCATTCGAATAAATCCTCCATATTTTAGTGCTGAGAAGGGTTAACCATAATTTAAGATAATAAAAATGAAGAGATTTTACTAGTAATGATTAATGGTCATAGGAATCATACGACATTAGATTTGTTGAAGTCCCACATCGATTATCAATATAGCTAAACAAGAGCTTATAAAGGTTAAAGCAATCCTCACTTTACAAGTTAGCTTTTGGGGTTGAGATAGGCTTAGAACCCAAATTCAATATGGTATTAGAGTTTATTGTAGATCTGATATGGGGCTACCCTTGGCTGAAAAAAAAATCTAATCTCACAAATTTTTTAGTTCAATTAACCTGGCCATGTGGATTTCCTAGCACAACTTACCTGGCCCCACAGCTTATCCAATGCTTTATTAAAATGAAAAAAGTATTACAATTTTCATGCTCTAAATGTCCAATTTTGAGCATGAGAGGGTGTATTGAAATCTCACGTTGATTATAAATGTGGCTAAATAAAAGCTTATAAATGTTAAAACAATCTTCACCTTACGAGCTATCTTTTTGGGTTGAGTTAAGCTTAAAGCCCAAATTCAACGAGATTATTATTAGTCTAACTTTCATGACAATTGACTAGTCCGATATAGGTAATAGATAACACCTTGACTCTAGCAAAATTCAACAGCTTGGTTATGCATTAACTTACAATTTTCCCTATCTTCAGCACATCCAAAGATCCCAGTCATCCAAGGTTCATCAGCAGGAGGTGAATAGCTTTCAGGTAATGGCTGTCCACACTCGATGCACTTGCGAACAGCCAACTGCAAAGGATATAAAAGCATAAGCAAATAGATGTCTACAAACTTATATAAAAAACTCAATCAAATGAAGCACAAGCACAATATTTTAAAAATTTCATTTTTCTTTCTCCAGCAATGTTACAAAAGGTTTGATGAAGTTGCACATTGGCTGCAAACTTTCAAACACAACACAACCCTTCTCCCCTAGGCTTGAGACCAAACTCACTTAGTGAAATAGGCTTAATTGTTTTGTTTCTGAGTTTCTTTCTTCACAAATCAAGAACTATGTCTTAAAAAAAATATTATGTCAAAATGGAAATACAAAAACTAATTCCTTTAAGTGATTATCTATGAAGTACTAGAGTTTGTTTGAAAGAGAAACGAGAGGGACAGATATAAAAACAATCAGAATTACATAGCTTTAGTTATCAATCATCACAACTCTAATCTCCCTATTGGAATAGAAGACCACAGAGAGTTTTTTTCAAAAGTAAATTCTCTATAGGAGGGAAGAGACAATTTTAGGCAGAGAATTAAGGCAGAAACCTGGGGGTGAGGGGAAGCAATTCATGAAGATTTTCAAATTTAAACCACATTTAAAAGGGATTATCTCTATTTCTTTAACTGGACGGATGTTTCTATAGATCTTAGTTAAGGTTTTTGACTTGCTTTTCATATGGATACCTAAAGTCTCAAATCAGTGAGCATGAATCATGCCCATTTACTTCAGATGTCCCAATTCAACCTCTTCTCATTAAAGACCATCGTCTAACCAACATCCAACATTGCAGGCATCATGGATGAAGAGGATGTTAGCTGGTTATATAGGACATATTCGTCCAAACAACCAAGCAATCTACAATCTGATCTCACCACCCAAATTCACATTCTAATCATCATTGCTTTATCTAGGCCTGAAAAACAAGCATCGTTCGCAAAAAAATATCATACCCAGCATCAGAAGCTTAAACTGTTAAATGGCCAAACCCATGTTGCAAAAACACAAACAACATTGGGACACTGTTGCTTTCGAATTGACCCTTCAACAAGGTTTCCGTCACATTCATGAATATCTATCTCCAACAATGGTGCCTATTGTAGAAACTAAACATAAACCAGATCAAATTGAAGAAAGAGCAATGTGGGTATGAATCAAAACAATGGAATCCAAACCTGAGGAACCTCAATTGGCTGATTCAATTCACCAGGCTTGATATCTTCCAAAGGTGCTTGATCCTTACTTAGCTTCACGTAACGCGATTGGTTCCTTTCCTCCATCTAATCTCACAAACCAAACCCACAGAGAAACAACGATGAATCAGAGAAAAAGCTTGTGTTTTGATGATGAGAAAAACAGAAATATAACTGCACAGTTTAAGATCTAAAGAAATTGGGATGTGGGTCACCTTCGATGGGAAGTGATGAGAAGAAACAAACACCAACGTTGGATACTCCGAATGGACCAAATTAATTAATAGAGGGAAATTAATTGACAGTGATACTAATGTGACTTTCACTAAAGCGGAAAACGAAAATGAAAACTCGTGGCTACTCCTATCATCTTGACACTTTTTCGAGTTTCATGCATTCATATTTAGTCGGTTTAGGCAGGAATTCAGTACTCAATTGATTTGAGGTCAAAATTCATTTCCTTCAAATTCATTATTTTCCTTTTTTATCCTTGTTTCCTTTTATTTTAAATTTAAATTTGGTCACGCAAGTAATTTCGGGTGACATTGATTTTTTTTTATTATTAAAAATAGTGAAAATGTTAAAGATTTATTACGTAAAAACGGTAAATGCTACGAGAATTAGCAAAAGAAGTGACTGATAAATAAGTTATTAAAATGACTTGTTATCAAAGATTTTAGAAATTTGAATGTTTAAAATTTAATTTTACTAAATTTTGTAAATAAAAAATTTCAATTTCTTATATATTTAAAATATTTTTTAACATAATTTTTTATAAGGTTAAGAGTAAACATAATTACTTATGTGAAATTATATCATATTTTCTCAAATTCACTTCTATATTTATTTTTAAAGATATTTAAGATTTTGTTTTGTGTTTCTAATGTAAATTTCAACGATAAATTGAGTGATTGTGGTCACTTGATAAAAGTTTGAAGAGAGAAATTCAAAGCAAAAGATCTAATAAATCTACCTAATCCTCTTTTGGCTTTGTTCAATTTCTCTTTCTTCTATTTCAATTCCTTTTTATTTCTCTCCTTAATAGTACACAAGCTCGTTTTTCACATTTATCATAAACTTGCATAACTATTTTTCTTTTGGATTGTTATACTTTTAAATGTAAGGGTTTCCTATTTGAAAACATCATATACTCATTTCAATTATCTTAAAGATCATCATTTTGATTTGATCAGAATAGGGGTAATAACTAAAGATATTTTGTTGAACTAGAAAAAACACAGAGAATTCACTTTAGAACTAGCAATTCAATGAGAATTCGAAGAAGTTAGAGAATAGGAATTCCACAGAAAGAAGAGAATATGAATGAATGTATTATTGAAGAAGGGAAGAGGAGAAACAAATTTGGAAAAAATGAAGGAATTATATCACACACTTTATTTTTTTTTAAAGAGAGATTATATAGCAACCGCTTATAACTAACTCTCTCGACTATCTTTACTTAATCTCTATCTTTTACTCATTTTAAAGATGACTAATAAGGCAAGTTTACATCATATCAGTACCCTCCCTTTAAAATAATCCTTGACCACAAGGGTTGAACGTAGGACACTTCTGCTTCAGGTCATAGTAATACTCCCAAGTTGCATCCTCTAGCAGCTGGTTCTTCAATTTCACTAACACCTTAGTCACAACGAGTCCTTGTCTCTTGGCAGTTATGTGGTCCAAAATATCCTTGGGTTCACGTGTCAATGGAATTGCTTCAGGTTCATCTGGTAGTTTCGTCAAAGTGGAAGCGTCTCCCACATACTTTTTTAGCTGTGAAACGTGGAAGACACTGTGGATCCTAGCATATGCTGGAGTTCTACCTTATAGGCGACCTGCCCGATCTTGTCAATTATTTTGTAGGGACCAAAGTATTTCAGAGCTAGTTTTGCATTGCTTCTAGTTGCCATTGATACCTGTCTGTAAGGATGAAGTTTGACAAATATCATGTCACCAATGCGGAGCTGTCTATCTCTTATGTGCTTGTCTGCTACTTGCTTCATTCGATCTTGTGCTCTTTGTAAATGAAACTTAAGCACCCTTAGCATTTCCTCTCTCTTAGTCAAACTTCTGTCAATCACAACATTTTTGAATGCACCAGGTAGGTATGGAAGGAATGCTGGCGGTGGTTGCCCATAGACCACCTCATAAGGTGTTGTCTTTATGGAGGAATAATATGTGGTGTTATACCACCATTTAGCTAACAGAAGCCAATAGAACTACTGTGTTGGTGTGTCTGAACACATGCACCTTAATTATGTCTCCAAACATCGATTGACTACCTCAGTGTACCCATCCGTTTATAGATGGTATGTTGAAGACAAGCGCGTTTCCACTCCTTGCAACTGCATGAATTCTTGCCAAAAGTTACTGATGAAGATGAGATCTCTATCACTGGTAATTGTTTCAAGGAACCCATGGAGCTTAAAAATATTATCTAAGAAAGCTTGTGCCACATCACATGCATGGTAAGGGTGGGATAACCCAATGAAATGTGCAGCTTTACTTAATCTATCAACAACTACGAAAATAACTTGCTTCCCCACTGATAAGTCTGTAATTTGACCCTATTTTACAGCCCATATATTCATATTTGACCTTTATTTTATTTGGGTTTTACACTAATTTATATATTAATTGTGCAGTTTGGTATAAATGGGCCGCAAGTGGATGTTGGGTGCATTTTGGGCCCAAATTGATGAAAGATTAGAGTTTCGCAGCAGTCAGCACGCCCAGACCCTTTCAACAAGCACGGGGTGCTTTGAGCCCATGCACGGTCATGCTTAAGACCTTGCACGACCGTGCTCATCTGCGAGAAGCTCAATTATCAAGAGTCTTTAGGATTTTTCAAACCCTATTAAAAAGGAGATCTCAGGCACCGTAAGGGGGCCGTTTTTTTTGGACATCTAGTCTTTGCTTTGCGATACACTTCTCATCTCCTTTCTCTTGCACGAGATCCTTGACACATGCTTGGTGAGACTTAGAGTTTTGAACGACTGTACTTGAAGACCAGGAATACTTTTCACACTTTAGTTTGCTATTTCTTTTGATTATGACTTTGTTTATGATTATTTTAGTTCTTTTCTTTAGCATGAGTAATTAAGTCCATAGTTAGGGCTATAGAAACTATTGTTCATGAATTTATGAAATTTTGATATTTGAATTTAAATTTGATTTCCGTTTTGTGATTAGATTTTATCCTATTGCGCTTCTTTCTTAATCCTAATTAATTATATTGTCAGGCGACCGTACCTCGGTTAATTAATAGATCTATAGGGTAAAATGAGACAAAGGATTAAGTAGATCTATATCGTTAGGCGACCGTACCTCGGTTAATTTAGAGAAAAGAATATTAATATTGCATGACCATTGGGTATTAATAGTATTTGTATGAATGATTGATAATTACAAGGAAATTGAATTTAGAGTTAAACAGAAAAATAACATAAAGGATTGAATAAGAAAACCCATATGCCCTAGGTTCCTCTCCGATAAGTTTAACCAAGACGTGCATTGTATTCCTTACTCTTAGTTTTAGAATTAATTTTATAAATTCTTGTCTTAATTAATTCCATATCTTTGAAGCTTAAACAATTGAATTAGAAAATTATTAGTAATTGGAAAATAATCCTTGTGGGACGATATTTCGAGAACTTAATTTAAGAACCATGTATTACTTATCGATGGGTACACTTGCCTTCTGAACAAGTTTTTGGTGCCGTTACTGGGGATTATTTTTTTTCAATATTAAGAAAATCTCAAATTTATATTGCTGCCATATGTGATCAGGTAGAGGTAAAGGCTGAAAGAGACTAGGAGAGGCTATGGTCTCATATTTGCTCCTCTGGCAGGTTGCACACTTCTTGATGTGTGCTATGATATCTCTAGTTAGTCCCTTCTAGTAAATGATTGACTTAGCTCTCTGAACTGTGGCATTTCTACCATAATGGCTTGCTGTGGAAGAAGAGTGTATCCAATTCAATATTTGAGTCCTGAGTATCTCGATAACTCATGCTAGCCTCCACACGTAATAATATCAAAAAGTAAAATAATTCTAAATCATTTTTATCATGTCTAAAAGCTCTTTTAATTATTGAATATTTTTTATATTTGTAGAATTATATATATATATATATATATATATAATATGAATGTATATTTTTATTTAATACCTATTTTATAAAATAGCTGAAGAATTATTAAAAACATTTTTAAAGTTCTTAAAAATAACATATAATGTATTAAATACATAAATTCAAATAATAAAATATTAATTAAAGTAATATTAAACTTTTAAAATGTAAGATTTCAATTAATGAGTTTGTTACTGAATATAATGTAATATTTAACATAGATGTAAGGTGGTTTTCGAGAACCATGCAATACCAGAGTGTACGATAGTGGCACGATTTCAAGCGCTAGGGATTTCAGTATATGGTGTTTTGGGACTGTGTAAGCCTTGCCTTGATCCATTAGTATGGGCAATGGCACCCCTAGCTAGATGGTATCCACCAATAGAAGGGTGGGTGAAGCTAAATTGTGATGGGTCTTTCTCAGAAAGTAATAATCAAGTAGGGTGTGGAGGTATTATGAGAGATAATCAAGGTAGGTTCCTAGTTGGTTTTGCTATGCAGTTGAAGCCATTGTCGATCTTGTTCTCTGAACTTATGAGGACCAAGCAAGGCCTTATGATAGCTGCTAGGGAAGGATATGACTTGTTGGTGGTGGAATCTGATAGTGCTAATGCAATAAAAGCCTTACGTAAAGGAGCACATGCTTTTCATGACATCCACACATTAGTAATTCAAATTCTAGAACTTGTACCCTCCTTTAACAAGGTTATTATTCTCAAGGGATCCAACAAGGTAGCTGATGGCTTTGCAAATCATGAAAATCAAGTGGAAGGCCTGGAAATTTTTCGTTCTATCCTAAATTTTATTTCTTGTTATTTAATGATGTCTCTAGATCAATTTATTTTGAAACGTAACTACTAGTTTCTTTAGACTTTTCTTCCTTTTATTCATTAAAAAAAAATACTGTTAACTACAATAAAGTTGTTAATTTAGAATATCAAATTTAATTTAGTTTTACGTAAGTAATAAATTTATATGAATTAGATTTAAAATATTCAAAGCTATTTAAATTTTTAAAAAATTCAAAGTTTTTTTATGCAAGTTCAAACTTATTTTTTATTTGCTGGTATAATTTATTAGAAAATTACATTAATAATGGATACTTTTCCATTATTAATGCCCTAACCAATTTCAA